TTCTTTAACATGTTTGCTTGCCCTGTCACAAGTCATATAATTTCCTCACACATTGGGGTTCACTGTGAGCTACTACAAGGGCAGACCTGGAGTTGCACCAACTTCTTTGTATGACTGGAGCACCACAATCTCCAGTTAAGCCCTGACTGTGTGCCAGATACTCTGTTAAGAAGTAAACACATAAGAAAATAAAAGTGGATTCCTTGTCCTTAAAGAGCTAATAGTTCAAGGCTTTCTGGAAGCATCATCAATGGTTCAGAATCCATATACCAAACTGTAGGAATATTTGGCAGTCTGAATTCATGCATAACCTTGAAGGGCTTCCATAACTAAATATTCACCCACTGAGTCTACATCCTTTTTCCACTAGCTCAGGATTACCATGTTGTGCCATTGGCCTGATGTTATTCATTCTTTGTCAAACAGATCCTGTCAAGTATTATTCCATCCACATATGAGGAACTCGAGGCTCAAAGTACACAGAGAAATAACAGAACTTTTAATTTGTATATCAAGTTACAAGCTTCACAATCCCTTTAATACCATTGTATGATCTCATAGCAGCTACAGTGGTCTGACATAAGTCAAATAGATCCCTCTCTTACTTAAATCCCTCCAAAACCTTCCATCACACTCAGAATGAAAACCCCTTCCTTTTTCTCTGACCTGACTTCACTTGTTCAGACTTCCATCCCTTTATTTACTATATTCCAGATGGTTTTCTTTTTGTGCCACAAATAACAGTCCTGTTTCCACCCTGCATCCTTTTTCTTTGCTGTTCCCCCAGAACCATGAAAGGAGCTGGCTTCCTCTTCATCAGTTTCACCTCCGTTACCACCTTTCCCTGAGCTAGCTAAAGTATCACTCTCCCTCCCACCCAGTTCCTTCCTAGCATTTTCTTGTTTCATTTTTTTCTTGGTTCTTATTGTCACATAAATCTTTTATTTGATTATTTTCTTGTTGTTAGTCTGCCTCCTTGACTGCAATGTATGCCGATTGCTGTACACATGCTGCTATGAATCAGCTTTAGCATTTCGCGGTGCTCAATAAATTTTTGTTGAAGGAATAAATTAATGCATTTGATAATGTCTTGAGTTTTTTATGGAAATCCTTCCCCCTTCCTGCCCTCATTTCTATACATTCCCTAGGCAATGTTGCCCACTTCTGTAGTTTATTGTACCGTTTTCATTATTCCCCTCTAGTCCAGATCTTTGTTTCTGAGATGATTGGGTCAAAGTTGCATTTAACCTTTCTTCCTCCTTTATTATTGCTCAGTTAATTATAACTTCTGTAATCAAGGGCACTCTTAGTCTTTTGGTGTTAAGAACTAAAGACACATGTATCCATGTTATAAAATTCTAATACATCTTAACTTAAGAGACTTATAATTAACCTAGTCCAAATCCATAACTTTAAATTTTAGTGAAGAATTTGAAGTCCAAAGTAATGATGTCTGAAGGTCAGAGCTATCTTGTATTACAGCTCAGAATTCCCAGGGTACATTTTTCTTCCTATATTATAGTTATTTGAGTATTCAGATGCCACTTCTTCTTTTGCTAATGTAATATATGTATATATGTACTTATTAACACATGGAGAAATAATTCACATACCGTAACATTCACCCTTTAAAAACATGAAATTCAGTAGTTTTTAATATATCTATAGAATTTTTAAATTATTGCTACTGTTTAATATATATTTTTACTAAATACATACATAGTATCTATCTATACACACACACAGACATATATATATATATACACAAGTACACCTATGTGTGCAATGCCCACAGAGACCAGAAGAGGGTGTTGGATCCCCTGGAACTGGAGTTATGTACAGTTGTGAGAGCCACCATGTTGGTTCTAGGAACTAACCTGGGTCCTCTGCAAGAGCAGCCAGGATTCTGAACCACTGAGCCATCTCTCCAGCCCTACTACTGTTTAGTTTTAAGACATATTCAACACTCACAAAAGAAACCTCATACTCATCAGTAAGTCACTCCCACTAGACCCCTACCCCAAACGTTTTCCTCTTTTTCAACTCTGTGGATCTACTCATCTACTTTCCACCTCTGTGGACTTACCAGGACATATTCTGGGTGTTTTATGAAAATTGATTCATTCGATGCATGACTTTCAATGTATGGCTTCTTTCATTTAGCATACTATTTTCAGAGTTCATGTGTGCTGAAATATGTATCATTTTGCTTGGTTTAACCAAACCCTCTTTCTTTAACTTCCTTGCTACAATATCTGTCTCTAGGGGTAGAAATTAAACTGTGAATATCCTGAAAACCAAAGTGAAAAATAGGGAAACACAAATATATTATTCAGCTGTAATTAGTTATAAAGGAAGCACAAAGTTTATTACATGTATAGATACATTTTATTTAAAGAGAATCATAATTATAGTCTTTAACTTTAACATATGATTCTGCTAATCAGCCAAGATGTTTTTATTGCTTTCTTAATTTTATGGTTTCCCCTTCTCTCTGGGTTGGGCATTCTGAGCTGTGTTGGAAAGGGTGAGAGGACAGCCCTGCAGGGGGTGAGATGTCAGCTCTTTCAGTGTATAGAGATTGTTAGGAGGGTGTTGTCTTATTTTGTTTGCAGTGATAGAAATTAAACCCTTGGCTTTGTGTGTGCTAAGCGTGTGCCCTACAAATGATTTATACTTCTAGCCCCCGAAGGTGAATTTAACCTTTAACAACACACCAAGTTGGCCCCCACCATTAATTCTCAGTCTTTCTTCAGTTCTTGGCCTCATTCTTTACTTCCATCTAATTTACATAGTATTTTACAACTTTATTTCTGAAAAACACTGTACCTTTGCCAACAGTGTTTTAAAACTAGTTTCCAAATAATGCAAATTCTCTATTAAATGATACTGGGAGGGTTGTAGGGAGTTGTCCACAGGTAGAAATAAAAAAAGGGAACATGGTCACTTGCTTGTGATGACCCATGAGTTTGGTCAAATGTTAGTTATAGATCTCATATTGTATGCATATATATATATATACACACACACATACATACATACAACACACACCAATATATGTAGAATATATGTAGATTCCTTCAGGGAGCCCTCCAATACAAAAATTTAAACTAATATATATTCCCCCTCAACTTATAAGAAAAAACTATCAGTTTGTAAAATTTTGTTTTTGTTTTAATTTTCTACTTCCTTCTTTTCCATCCCTTCTATATATGTTTGGTGGATGTCCTTAAGACATACATGCCTTTGCTATTTATTGTTGTATATGAATGAATGGTTATATAAACAATATTGTGCCATAAATCTCAGTCTGTTACTTTCTTTTTTAACTTACCACTAAAGGTTTAAAGTATATTCATGATTCTGAATTTAGTGTTCCAAATATTGCATAGTATTTTGTAGTATGTATGTATCCAACACATTTTCTTTACCATTCCTTAACAATGGTCACTTGCTACCAGCAGTGACATAGTAAATATCTTCCTATTTGTCTCTTCAGACCTGAGGAAGAATGGCTTTGGTGTGTGTGTGTGCCTAGGAGAAGACCTAAATGCACCATTTTCTTAATCAACCTATCTTGTGCATTGCCAGCATCTTCCAGTCCTACTTCAGCCATCGTAGCAGAGACCAGGGCTTGGTGCTTGTAGTGGGGTAGGAACTTACCTCTCATTTCCTGCTCTAGGACCTCTGGACAGAGACATCAAATACTCAGGGAACCTGCTTAGCCCCAGGCACAGTTATGAAATGAAGAAAGGGAGCAGCATTCCCCGGGCTGCTCTTGACTTGAGCGACAGAAGCATTGAGACAAATTCTATCACCTTGATAGATAGTTTTGAGAAGGTTTATATAGGCTTTTACCAAAATCTCTGTGAGGCTGGTACAAGTTGCCAGCATCGGTTTCCGGTTTGAAAACACATCCTTCTGCTTTTCTCCTCTCCCCTGTTCCAGTCCTCTAGTGTGTCACTCCTGCCTGTTGGTATTTCCTCAGGTGAGATCTCTGTAGACAAGCTTTTGATTCAGTCTCTACTTTCAGGGGCTACTAGTATTACCCATTACAAGAACTGCCAGATTGCTTTCTAGAGTATCTGCACCCTGATCTGGATAGTTTGGCCAGCCACCAACTTGTGGATTGGAGACTGGGCAATTCCAAAACTCCAAAGGGACATGTTTTGACAAGGCTTTGCCTCTGCTTGGAAGGCATGCAGTTGTAGCTGTATGGGATCTGACCCATGGGTCAGTGGCTTTTCTTTTTATACTTACTGCAGTTTTTTTCAAAATGTGGTTATAATATACATGCCATGCTCATTATACAATAGTTCTCCAAAACATTTTTCTCTCCCTATCATGGTTCGTGACTTCTGATGCATGGAGGGTGTACTTTATCACTGAAGTGCCATACACAGCATTGAAAAAATTGCTTCTCAGTACCTGTTAATATAGAAACATGAGGCCTGGCATGGTGGTGCATGCCTTTAATCCCAGCACTCTGGAGACAGAGGCAGGCAAATCTCTGTGAGATCTAAGCCAGTCTGATGTACAGAGAGAGCTCCAGATCAATTGGGGCTATAGGTAGACCCTGTCTCCAAAAATATATAGAAACATGGTAATATTATATTTTCCAGTGAAGGATGCTGCATCCCTAAAGTCATTTTATGTCCCAGAATATGCACTGCTTCTGTCACCTTCTTACTTGGGTTTACTTAGTGAAAATAATTTCTTCAAGTGGACATATGTCAACATTAATGCTTTTGCATGCGTGTGCCAACTCACTGCCTTCTAGATAGTCTAGAGTCCAGCCTTTTGGCCACTACCATTGCCCACCTCTTTTTCTGCCACACATGGTCTTCCTGCAAAAGGAAAGTGGCAGATACGCATCTTGATGAAACGAAGCACAAATCGTGACCAGTTGGGAGCAGGGAATGAGAGGCACTAGGGAATACTGCTGCTTCTCATTTGGGAAGCAAAATCTCATCTATACTCTGCTTTTGTTGTGTGAACAGGTGGTCAACACATACACTCCAGGAAAGAAGATTTGGCTTGAAGGTGTGGTTACCACCTCAGCTGGAGGCACAAACAACCTATCAGATTCCTATGCTGCAGGATTCTTGTAAGTAATTTACAGTTTCGCTCCCCGGAGCTTTCAGGAAAGGACAGCGAAGCTGCAGCTTGCTCACTGGTTATTCTACACATTGGAGGGCAAAGCTCACCTCCAATAAAAAGTTCTTCATCCATTCATTTGTGAATATATTTAGTCATTTAACCAACAGTGATTAGTTACTTCTTCAGATACTGAAATCTTGTCAGACATACACATCAGAGCACAGATAAGAAGATAATAAGGAGAAACAACAGTAATAGAGTAAGACCTTTACTAAGTTCAAATCACAGGGTAAATGGCATACATCTCCCCATCTGATCAGTACTATCTTAGTACTGAGAATTAGGTCACAACAGAGCATGATTTTGCCCTCCAGAAACATGATTGGAGAAACTACTATTAAAGATAACTACATTACAAAGCTGTTGGAGACAAATGCCATGATAATTCTTTTATGTATATAGGACCTACCATGTGCCGAGCACTGAAATGCTTCCAAGAATTTGACAATGAGATCAATACTGCTGCTTTTATAATGAGCAAGCAAAACAGATGCTATTATTATTCTCACATTAGAGTTAAAGAAGTTGAAAGGCAGAGCTGAAGTAAGTTGCCTAAGGTGGCTCAGTTAGTGGCAGAGATCGTACTCGAACCCAGTCAGTCTGCATGAGTCTAGCCTTTCCCCACTACAGCGGGACCACCTCTCTTTCTATCTCATGTGGTCCTCCTATAAAAAGAAAGTGAAAGGCAGAGGAATAAAGAATTCTCTGCCTGGGATTATGAGGTGGTGAGGGTTTCATGGAGAGACTAGTATTTGTGCGGGTTGTGGAAAGAGTACTCTGATTCCCACAGTAGAGAGAGGTGGTGGTGACAGTGGGTATTTCCACCTGGAGAAACATTACAGGCAAAGGCATTGCAGGTTAATGTGAGTAAACCCTTGCTGTCTACAGTGTAGAATGGCAGCTGAGACTAGAGAGGGTTTACCACCAGACACTGGACGGTCTTGAAAAACAAGTGGAGGAAATGAGGCCTTGCCCATGCTAATGCCAAGCCACTGAAGATTTGAAGACAGAGATATAGTCTGACCAGCATTTTAAAGCTCAGACCTTGACAATATTAATGCATAGGCATTTGAAAGAGATACAAAAATGAATTTGAAGGCTACTGTGGTTGCCTGGAGAGTGACTTAAGCCAGGAGCACAGGGCCTCTGCCTGGCTTGCCAGTGTCCTGTAGCCAGAACAAGACTTGCACAATCACAAACTAACCAAATTATTTTTTCCTGCTCTTTTGTGGTCCTTTGACCCTGGCTTTCTGGCTGAGCAATGTAAGAACTGTGGCTTTGCCCTCAGCTGTGTGATTTGCTACTAACAGCTGTTCCTAATTATACAGATGTAATTCCCCTCCATTGAGATAGCTTCTTTAATACATTTGTGAAGAACTAATCAAGCCAGCCAAGTAGATTACATTTTTTTCAGATAGAATCCCATCAGATGTACATAAGATAATGAGTCAGTCCAGTTCATGGTATTACTTTGGGTCTTCCATGTTTGTATTCTCAGCATCCACCATCGCTTAGCACAAAGTCCAATAAGCACAGATCAAATGAGTGAAATGGAGTGGATCGGCACTCAATGCTATGTTGCTAAGTCTTCTTTCAAAAACACACTCCCCATGGTTTGATATGAGCCCTGTTACAAGGGTAAAAGAGCCAGGTTGGCAGTCAGTACTAGAAGACCCCCCTTGCAAGCAGCCCAGCAATGGCTTTTTTGCCTGTCACCAAAGGGCTCTGGTTTGAGGCCCAGCATGCAGTTAGTTGTGCTGAGTATTTTCATGAATACTCTTCCCTTTAAGGAATGCTGTGAAATTTAGAGGACCACAGGCCTTCATAGAGAAAACTGAAGCAGAGACTTGCCTTTGCGTGTTCATCAGGCAAACAGCCACGGATCTCTATAGTAGTTACTCTGTGGATGAAGTAGTTGTTGATCTTTGGGCTGTAGTTCAGATTCTCAGTGCTTGATTGACAGATCAGATGAATCCATTTCATTCTGCTCCTGGTCTTCTAATTTGTCATCTATTTCATCTCATCTCCACCAGCAGTGCATAGCAATTGTGCTGTGCTCCAAGGGACACACAGGGGGAAAAAAAGCATTCTGGGAAGCTTCAAGAATATGAAAAGATGGCATTTTCCCAGTGCTTTTTCAATATTTCACATAATTATGACCTCTCTAGGGACTATGCGAATGCATGCATGATTCAGAGCTCTCTGCTACTGAGGATTCAAGGGTAGTGCCTCCTCGTCAGAACTCTGAGATTCTTTGGCATGTTGTAGATACCCCTTGGCAGGCTGCTATTTCTCCAGCATGTAGAAACATATGGCACATACTAGATGTTCAATAAGCATTTATGGAATGAGAGATAGTGACTAGGGTGACGTTCTTGGCGGGACATACCAGTCACTATTAATTTTCAATATCTGAGCAGAGTGTGGAGTTTTAGAAAACTACTTCCCAGAGCCTCGGGGCTTATTAGAGGAGGAAGATGAGATAACTTCAGCACTAAGCATTCTACACTGAAAACTATTGGGTGGCAGTGATCTTGGCCATAGTCATTTTTGGATGCTATGAATTCTAGATATTGCATAGAGGGATATGGGCTGGGAAGGATGCATAGTTTCCGCTCTTCAGAGCTTCTTCAAAAACTGGCCATATGCTAGGAAAATCCAGGTTTACTAATTAATATTTACTTGGTGGGTTACATGTAAATCACTGCATCAGACTGTGTAGAAGTCACAAATACAAATTTGATAGTGTTCCTATAAATGTGTATACACTGGTAGTTACATGTCTGGTGATGTACCCTTGACTTACATGGCTACACAACATTTTTGCATGTATCCTCAATGCTGAGAATAATGAGTAACATTTACAGTTGACCCATGTTACTGAATAGAAATAAATAAGAGAGCAAACAGGATCATTTCACATACACAAAAACACCCAGATACTGTCCGGTGCTACTGTACAGGTGATGCTCAGGGGCTCACATATATATGATCATGCATTTGCTCATTAGTTCATTTCTTCTTTCATTCAACAAGCATAGGGAAAGAAGATTAAGCCCAATGTTTATTTTTTATGCTTATAAATAAATAGTTATTAAATATACACCTTATTGTATATGTACTTTATTTTTATTTTTATTGTTTTGGCCTTTTTGAGGGAGAGTCTCCCTGTACCTACAGCTATCCTGGAACTCACTATGTAGACCACATCTCCTAGAGATCCACCACCTGCCTGTGCCTTCCAAGTGCTGGGATTAAAGGCATGCACCACTACACCCAACGTATTCGTACTTGTTAAACGGAAGAACTCTGATTTGAAGATAGTCACCCAGAATTCACATTATAGTTCCACCACAGGACATTCCTCGACAAGGTTTTACTACTATGCCTCAATAGTAATGGAAAAGCTAAACCTATTATCCTGATTTCACAGACTTGCCAAATTAATTAAAATAATAAAGGCAAGTAGCTTAGCCACATAATGTTCCAAAAGTAATTTCAATCTCTGGCTCAGGATGTCCCAATTTGAACAAAAACAAACACAACAAAGGTTCTGCTGTATTGTACTCAGATTCTTCTTTTGATTTAAAACTTTTGTTTTTGTGTTTTGCTTTACTTAGCTTTTTGCTTTGTTTTTGTAACTCTAATTGTCAGTAAATATGTTCATTTTTATGAGAATAAAATAGTTGTAAATGTAAAAGAGATTTGAAAATGTGAATGATATTTATTCATAATATAAGAATTAGAAATGCTCTTTATTCCAGCAAGTTAAAAAACTTAATTCTTAGACAAGTCATGGGTTTAGAGCCCCATATGGTTTCAGATTTGGGAAATCATAACTATGCGTAATTTTTCCCATGTGCTGAATGGTGATTCTCAAATCTAATTTTATCCAGATAAATTCCAACCTAAATAGTACTGTGCACCTACAATGTGCCGGGAATTATGCTGGGTGTTTTGAGTAGACGTTCAAATGATGTGTGTCTGATGATCCTATAGCTGATAGAGAAAAGTACAGAAATAAGTGAATGGTTGCCATCCAGTGGGCTAGCAGAGGGCATGAGTAAGGGTTCTGGGAAAGGGACTACTTTGGGAAACAAGGGTTTGCAAAAGAGCACCTGATTTGGAGATTAATATGTAGGAAGAAATTTGCCAAATGAAAAGAAATGAGTTACATGAGATAGGTAAGAACTGCTAGGCAGAACTCAAAACGTGTGTGGAGACTCATTTCAGTACAAGAAGAATGTATGGTGTGTGGGCTACTCGAGAGTAGTTTCCTGTGACTGAGAGCCTGTGGAGAATGGGGATTGGGATAAGACAAGAGAGGATGTGGAAGTTTCTGAAGTACAGATACAGAGAGAGAAGAAATGATTGCCTAAATTGATGAATGAACTGAATGTGTAAATAACAAAGGCAGAGTTGGCAGCAAGCTTTGGAAGAACCAAGAAGGTGGGATTTTTAAATGAGCAGCATGCCATGAAAAGTACGTGTTTTGCACAGTGAGGTGTAAGTGTGTGATCAGTTTAGGTCTTCCATTACGGCACAAGTGTGATGGTAGCCCACTTCAGCCCCTGCGTAGATCATTATGGTGTCAAGGAAACTGATTATTACATTGACTGCTGACAGTGATGTGTGGGGGATGCAAATGGCTAGACTGTTTTTTCATAGGTCACAGGTTAAAATCCTGTGGGGGGGGGGGAAGTGTACTTCTACGAAGTTCAGGCAGAGGAGTTTGAGGACGGAAGGCATCCTGTGGAATCCCGTGACTGTATTACTGCAGCCAGAGAAGATGGCATTAGGCTTACAAGTGGTTAAGGTGTTCATTTGTCAGTATTCCAGAAATAAAAGATAAATCATCAGCAACAATAACTTTATGACCAAAACCAATTCATTTTGTTTCCCCCAGACTTCAGCTTCTTTTCCTATGAAATAGAGATTAGAACTTGATAACCTCTGAGGTCTTGTATAGCCACAAGTTCAGTACTTTAAATATTTTTCTCCTTTAAAGTACTAGGTAAATTCTGTGGTGGGAGTTAGCGTTGATTTGAACGCCATAGTTCATTGTCATAGATGCCATGTAAAAGATGTAATGATGTGGCTTTTGTTCCTTTGCTTTGTAGATGGCTGAACACTTTAGGAATGCTAGCCAACCAGGGCATTGACGTTGTGATACGACACTCATTTTTTGACCATGGATACAATCATCTGGTGGACCAGAATTTTAACCCATTACCAGTAAGTGTGGGATAAAGATTCCCAAGTGCTTTTCCACATCATTCAGTTTTTCTGATGGTGCCTTTTCCACACTAGGAGAATTTTCTCCTTTTGCTACTGGCAGTTTATTTCATAAGTCAGACAAGGCATTCTTTCTTGTCT